GAGATAAAGAGACGCTCTGTTGGGCTGGGGATTTAGCTCAATGGTTCCGGTGCCTGCCTTGCAAGCGCAAGGTCCCAAGTTCAATCTCCGGTACCAAAAAAAAAAAAGAAGAAGCTCTGTAACCAGTTGAGAGATCTCTCATCTCTTTGGATCTGTGGTATAAAGAAACATAGAGAAGACATACTCTTCTCCATCCTTCCCTTCCTCCCCCCTCCCCTGTCCCTCTCTCCTTGAGTACTCTAGGGGATTGAATGCAGAGCCTCATGGATGCTTGGCAAATATTCTACCACTGAGCTACAGCCCCAACCCCAGAAGTGGTTCGCCGTGTCCCATAAGCCTGATTACCTCAAGTCCTTTCAACATTCAGCTCCTTCAAGAGCCTGTTCCCAGCCATTTATCCTCCTAAAATCTTGACTTACTGACTCCTCTTGTATGTACAGTTCTATAATTGTACTTTCCCAATGTGTTTTGTCTACATTATCTCTCCTGTTTTAGATTTAGCCCTTAATATACCTAGTTAACCAGCAAACATTTGGCCTATGTTTGTAGAATATACCAGGAAGCAGATTTTTCTTTAGAGTTAAGTAAAATATCTACATAATAAGTAATATAGCTTATCATATACACTTATAAAATATCACCCTAGTAACAACTATTTTCCTTACCCCACTTCCTTCATTTTCTTTTATTTTTTTTTAATTTTTTTATTTTTTGGTACCAAGGATTGAACTCGGGTCCTTGGCGCTTGCGCAGCAGGTAGTGAAACCACCGAGCTAAATCCCCGGCCCCATTCTCTTTTATTTTTAATTATGCAGGTAAACATGGCTATGTATATATTTTATAAAGATAAATGTCAAATCATACATAAATAAAGTTAGTGTCCCCTTAATCTTGTCCCTCACCTGGAATAACTACTTTTGTCTTTTTCTATAAATATAATTTTATATACAATATTAAGTATTATGTGAGTAGCTTTGGAGGTTTTTGTTTGATTTTAGGTTTGGGTGCTAAAGATTAAACCTAGGGCCTCATACACACTAAGTATGCACTCGGTTACTGAGCTATACTCTTTAACACCTACGTATAATTTCTAAATTGTTTTTCCATGCTGTCTTAGAAATGTTTTTAATGTTGGTTCATAGTTTTACAGAACTATTTTACCATTTTATAGTTAAAATTGACTCAGAGCATTGAAAATATTTTAAGTCAAAAATGTACTAAATACATATAACTTAGCAAATATCATTGCTTAGTAATACCATACCCTGTAGAATATCAGTTGCTTGAACTCATGATCTCATGGGCTGACTAGAGCTATGTTCATTGATCCTGTCTAGCAGCAGAGTATCCTATGGCATATCACTAGCCTGAGAAAAGATCAAAATTCAAAGTACAGTGTCTTCTGAATGAATATGGCTTTCACATCATTTTAAAGTAAATATTATAAGTAAAACTGCAAATTGAGAACCATCTGTATATTATTTTTCAGAGAATAATATTAATCTCATTATTCTGTAGCTTGATTTTATTTTCAGGTTATGAGAAACAGGTCCAGGATTTGCCAGATGCTAATAAGCTCAGACATAATTCAGCTTACCTCTATAGGTTTAGGCTTTGAAAACTGTCTTCTCTTTTTGTTTTGTTCAATTTTAGATTAAAAGCTAGTCATAATTACAAGAGTAAAAAGATTTTAGATTAAAATATTAACTGTTTTTTAAATGTCCTTCCTGAAACATGGGTCATGATGATTTCTATATGTAATTTTTCTGGGTTTTTTTAATCGCCTTTTACAACATATTATTTTACTTTAGGGCACAAAACTCTTAAGAATTTTATTTGTATTTGTTTTAGATTCAGTAGAGATCATTGCCATAAATATGTTTGATGTGAATTATGCTTCTCATGTGGCAGGTGTGTAATAGATAGAAGCTTATGGTAGAATAGCAATGACTTGATTTTCTGTGATTCTGTGTATTACTAAAGTGGGCTACCAGGGTTAGCCAAGAGAGAATAAGATGTAATTGCTTGCCTAAAGTGATAATATCTTTTCAGTATATCCTGTGAATATCAATGAAGGCAGATGATTTCAAGGAGAAGCTGTTTTCATTTGGGAGATGAGAAAGATCAAATGAGGGCGATAATTAAAAGAAGACCAAAATATAGCATGCATAGACCACATTTATGCTAGTAATTGAGAATTCCTAGAGATAAAGTATTACTTTGAAATATTCTGTAAGAATATTTGTTCATGTAAAAGTCACTAGGTCCTCATGTAACATAGAAACTTCATAGAAATAAAATGAGCTTAGAAAAAAAGGAAATACTTGACCCACTGTACAATTTAAGAATTATACGGAAAGAATAGGACTTAAAATCTAGGATACTAGATGAAGCACATTGCTTTTAGTTTCATTGTTAATTTTTTTTATTTAACTTTCTAAAAGCAGTCTCCTTTTTATGTGATAAATAACATTTGATTATTCAGTAATTTTAAAGAAAAAAGTCATCTTTCAGTAATAAGAAAGTAGTATTACCTTTACTCAGTTGAAAAATACTCATTTTGTTACCTCCTGCTGACTACATCTGTTACTCTATTCTCCTATCCTCACTTTTAGTAGCAAACAGAATGATAGCTTATTGTTGGGAAAATTAAATGTAGTAATATATAGAGAGTACATGCACATACTAAGCATTCAGTTTTAAAAGTTGCTAATATAATTTATGGTTAAGGTGTTTGTTTTGGAAATATGAGACTAGTAAATTTTATTAAGTTGCTGAATTTGCTTTATTCTTTATAAGGAGATGAATTATAGCATCTTTTAAAATGCAACCATGATGCTGATCATTGAATGATACTACTCAGTTAGACTCTGTATCTCTGTATAGAATGAAGTAAACAGGTTAGAATGTAGCCGACTACACCAGTAAAATGTTAGACATTTTAAATTCATATACAGTATAAATCTTCAACCCAGTTTGCTTTTTATGAAGAACGGCCTTTGTAGAAATAATTTAAGCCTGAAAATATGTTCATATTGAAGCTGGGCTGTTCATTAGACTCACTTCATGCCTTTTTTGTTGATTTGTATTTTGCTTTTGATTTTTTAGGCAGGATCTTGCTATATAATTGAGGTTGGCCTGATATTTGGTGTGCATCCCATCCCAGGCTCACCTCAAGCTCACAATCCTCCTGCCTTAGCATCTTCAATGCTGGGACTACAGGCATGCACCGCCACACTCAGCTATTGTGGACCATTTTTAAAATACCAGTTGCTTTCCCCTACCATTTGACTTTCTAAGAGATGAAGCTAAACAGAGGTGTGCTGAGCTGGGTGTGATGATGCACATCTGTAATCCTAGCACTCTGGGAAGCTGAGGCAGGAGGACTGCAGTTTCAAGCCCATACTAGGCAACTTAGCATCTTAGTGAGACACTGTCTTAAAACAAGAAATAAAAAGTGGGCTGAATTATATCTCAGTGGGAATGCCCTGGGTTTAATCCCCAGTATTGGGTGGGTGGGGTGCTGGTATATGTTTAACAAATGAGTTCTTGGAAGGGAATGGAGATAGTAGGCACTGTTTTGTGTGTTTGCTGATTTCCATGGTATAAATATTTCCACTATAGCCAAAGTTCTGAAAATTTAACACACCATCTTTCATGAACTGATAGACTGTAACATAACACTGGAGCTCTGAGGTATCTATTTTTTTTTTAAACTAAGTAATTCTGATGTAAGTAATTTGCCAACCAGTTTTTTTCCCCAAAAAATACAGATATCTGATCCTAAGACCCAAGAAGACATCCCACAGCCTTATTTCAAATTACCCCGATTTCCTTATATCCTCTGTATGTCACCTACAGTGGATGTAGATTATTTGTAGGTTTTCAAACATAACTTGTACTCTCCTGCCCCATGCCTTCTCATTTTCTTCCTTCAGCCTTGAATGACCTTACCTCATCTGTCTGGCTTTTGCATACTGTTTATTTCTTTTTCTAGAAGTAATTCAAATGCTACTTCCTCTTATTTCTTACAGTTGGAAATATTCCCATTCTCCTTGAAGTTCTCATAGCACTTTGTTTATACTTTTTTGGAACTCAGTAACAAATGTCTCTTTTACTCACTAGATTATAAATTTCTAATAATTACCTTTGAATCATTCTGTACTTAAAACATTAATATTTATTAACTACTTTAATAGGAAGGATTATGGAAATACATGATATTGCCTTTGCTTTCTGTACCTTTGGGAAACTGACAAAAATTAAAGCTTTTTAAAATTAAATGGCGTCCTTAAAGGTAAATTCCTCATCTGTCTATTGCTTTCTGGCTCTCTTTCCCCACCACCCACACCTAGGGCTAGGCAAGCACTCTACCACTGAGGTATCCTCCCATCCTTTTTTATTTTGAAATAGTTTTTGTGATTTTGCCTAGGCTGGCCTTGAACTTGGGGTTGTCCTGTCTCAGGCTCCCAAATAGCTGGAATTACAAGCATGCATCACTGTGCCCAGCTATTTTTTTATCTAGAATTATCTGATCACCTTCACAATAAGTATTGACAAGATCTAAGTGTGGAATTCTTCTAAAGTAGAAACAACCCAAGAATTTCTTGAAATACATGCAGCACATTCTTTGAGAGTGATGTTTCTAGGATTTTTTTCATCTTTTACCCTAAGCTGCCACCTGATGGCAAAAATTAAAATGACATCTTTTATGACATCAAAACTTGCATTGAAAGTTTTGGATTAAGTATTCCATATAGACTTTTCAAATGCCAGATGCATATTTGTACAAATATTGTATACTCAAATGTTTGATGATTAATTTGAATCTCAGGGAAAACATCTTTATTTTTTAGCCTTTGTTAGACAGTGATTCTGCTAAGGAAATCTTAAAATCTTACTTCCTTTTCAGAATACTTTAATCTATTTTTCATTTGTTTTATTTAATGAAGAAATTTACTTAAGTCTAGTAATTTTCTCTCTTCCTTTTCTTTCTTTAGAACGAGGTCACTCAGACACTATAGTGTTCTTTTACCTATGGATCGTCTTTTGTACCATCAGTTCCTGCTACACCCTGATCTGGGATCTAAAGATGGACTGGGGTCTCTTTGATAAGAATGCTGGGGAAAACACTTTTCTCCGGGAAGAGATTGTATATCCTCAAAAAGTATGTAAAAAGTGTTTGCATTTGTTTAAAAAAAAAAAACTTAGGTGTATCACTAGGTAAATCCTATTGTGATAAAACCCAACCCCTAATTATAATGTAATACAATCAAAAATACTGATTCATTCACTAAAAATGTACTCAGATATTCTCTGATGAACACTATAGGAAGTAAAAACAAAATAAAATTCTGGTTCCCCAGGAGACTATAAACTATTCTAAACAGATAAACAGTGTAATACAGTATGATAAAGATTAGAATAATTTACTATAGTTTTTATTTTGAACAGGGAATTCCCTCTGAAACGCCCTTTATCCCCTTTGTGTGCTTTGTAAGTTAACTCCTATTACTCCTTTTTAAAAGTCAGTTTAAGATTACTTTCTCTAAGAAGTCTCTATTTTTCCTAGAATGTTTAACCATTCTTACTAATCCTTTTTACTTGTATAAAGTTCTGTTATAGCAGTTATCGCATTATGTTATAGTTATCTGTTTAGGTATCTGTTTTCTCACTGCCTAGCATAACTCCTAGTCTGTAGCAAACAATATTTGTGGAATAAATGAATGAATACATAGTTGACTAAATGAGCAGTGTTAAGAATGCCCAAAGGGAAGAGAATTCGTGGTTCTGATTGGGTGTATCAAGAAGGCTTCTTTTGTTTATTTCAACCAGTATTTATTGCAGTCAAGTGTCAATTCAATCAAAACATATAATTCTAGAGGAATTATTTTAGGATGTTACCTACATATGAATAAAATGACAAGAGAATCTTAATTTAAAAATTAAAACACAAAATATCTTTACTGAATGAAGGATAAATACCTCAACTACACCTTGAAAGAGACTAAACAATGAACTGAGAATCTTAGTATGTGAATTCTAATCCTAGCTCTCTAACTTGCTGTATAACTTTAGGCAACCAAACTATAGTGGATTCTACAAGGTTAAGGTGTTATTTATCTGTTGATATATTTCCGGTTCTGAAATTCTATTATGGGTAAAAAAGTATAGATTGGGTCTCTGATATTTTTTACCATACAGAAATGTCACCAGTACCTCAAAATCTTATTTTAAGATGTGTGTGAATGTATAATATTTAATTGTTGAATGGGTAAGGCTGTTTTCAAGCATGAAGATTGAAGATAAACAGCAGGAGAGTGGGTATAAAGAATTATATGTAGAGTAACTTCAGATGAACAAATGAAGGTGGAAAAAGACATTCATTGAGAGGGATTTTTCAAAAATTTTTTAACTTAAGCTGTAGCAATAATCTTAAAGTAAAAGTATTAAATATAGACCAAGATGTTAGAGACATTTTTATAAATCTCATTAGAAAAGAAAACCAATAATCAAAGAGTAGGCCTGAGTTCAGGTAAAATGACCCTTTTGTGTTCACCAAATGTGTGTGTTTTGTTTCCGCTTAAATTGTTCATGCCTTATTGTTTTTTATTATTTCTTATTATGATTGCTTAGATGAATTGTTTGTATTTTTATATAAATGTTAATCCATTTTCTTTTGAAATAGTTTAAACTTAATGGTTTCTATGTAATAAAATTAGTAGAATCTTTCAGTTTCTTTGTTATTACATATTTTCATGGTCTTAGGAAATAAAGTATATGCCTTCCTATATTATAATTTACAAGTTTATAAAAAACCTGCTGGATCACCACATCCCCTGCAATTTTTTTTTTTAAAGCAGTATTAGTATAGAGTTCTTCCAGCTGGAGAAGCAAAGAAACCACTTACAGAGTGGACCTTTGTTAAGAATTAATAGCACATCTGCATGAACCTTAAAATCAGTTTCTAGGAATTAACAGTGCATGATATTGAGTGGCATACCCCAGTCCAGGACCCATTTTTGTTGTCTCCATATTCAAACTTTTCTGTGTCTCTTGATCTTAAATTATATATATTCCTCCGGAAAAATCTCAAGAGTTTTTGGTAATATCAGATCCCATGTCAGTCAGCTGTAAATAGTTTAAGACTGACTCTTAAATCTACATTGTAGTTCTTCACTTAGGCCTAATATTGAGTACACTGAGTGTGAATTTAACCAAAAATTGCATTATTGCTTTATTGGTAGGAGGGGAGAGGGTACATGGAGGTATGTGAATGTATTAAAATCATAATAATTCTCATAAAATCTGTAACAGCATTTACTGGATAATATCTAAACTTGACAAATCAAGATAGAACAGTATACATATTTTATACATGGATTGTAGATAACAAGAAATAACTAAATTTTGAAAATATGTGTCTTTAGGGAATAGAAAAAGAGTATGAAAAGGAGATTTCTGTCTTTTTTATTGCTAGCTCTCTAAATACTAGTATTACTTCATTAAAATTAAATAAAATAAACATTATTACTTAATACATAGCAGTTCAACTTCCCAAAAAGTCACAGCCTTTAAATACATCTATTAATGAGCAAATTTAGATTAATAATGAGCAAATCCATGAATTACAGTTTATGTGTATTTAAGACCTTTGGGTAGCTAAAATTGGACTCCTAAATCCTGAGTATTGGTACCTGGAAGTATTAGCTGAGCACTGTTTTCCCTGTGTTTAAAAAAATTGGAACTTTTTATTTTTCTTACAATGCTGGGTATTAAACTCAGGGCTTACAATATACTAGGCAAGCACTTTATCTCTGAGCTACTTCCCCAGCCCAGGAATATTTCTTAAATTCAACTATGTTTGCGAAATCCAAGTTTAATTTCATTTGCTGTCATCAAAAGTCAAGGCAAAACTTTTCATCAAATATAGGGTAAGACAGTTTGAAAATACAAGTACAAATAGTATAGTTAATAAATATGCTTATATTCTGTTATATCATTAGCATATCATGTACCTGCTAGAATGTAATCTCAGTTGAACAGGGTTTTCATCTACCTTGTATTTCTGGGGCCTGGAAGAGTCTGATATACAATGTGGGAGTAAGATGTATTTGTTAAATTATTACTAAACTCAGCAACACTTTATTTTGAATACCACCCAATTTAAGACAAAACTAAATTGGTGAAATTTTCCTAAAATATATGCTTCTCTGCAAAATTCAAAAGAAAACAACTTTTTCCTCTCGATCCTGTGCTTATTGATGGAACATGTGTGAGTCTTATTACATTATAATAGATATGACCTTTGTGAGAAATGTGATAGGAATCATATTCAATTTCTTTGTCATTCCTTAGGCCTACTACTACTGTGCCATCATAGAAGATGTGATACTACGCTTTGCATGGACTATCCAAATCTCAATTACCACTATGACTGTGTTGCCTCATTCTGGGGACATCATTGCTACTGTCTTTGCCCCTCTTGAGGTTTTCCGGTAAGCAAACCATTGGAAGGTTTATCAAAGGTCTTTTTTACCTAAAAGATGCTATTGCTTAAAATTAGAATTTATTATACTTGAAAAGCTTAAATTTTCTAACTTCCCTCAAACTTGTTATCATCATCCTCATATTTGGAAAATCCTACTTACAGGATTTAGAGGTTAATTTTTACAAAGTTTATATTACTATTGATGATGACTTGTAAGTGGGTGCCATTGAGAGAGTAATAATTGGGAGATTAAAAAGGCTTAGAAGAGAAAATTGTTTGAGAATCACTTTTTGCAATTTAATAGTCTCAGTTATTCAGCCCAGCCTTTTTACTGAAATAAAAATGATGAATAAAATGTCTTTTAAATATTCCTAAAACTATAGCCCAAAATCTAAATGAAAGCAGGAAGCTCAAAATAAACACTAGCCAGGGGTGGTGGCATATGCCTGTAATCCTAGCCCCCAGAAGGCTGAGGCAGGAAGATCACCGTGAGTTTGAGGCCAGCCTGGGCTATGTAGGTAGTGAGTTTAAGAACAGTCTGAACAGGGGCTGGGGATTTAGCCCAGTGGTTTCGTCACCTGCTGCGCAAGCACAAGGACCCGAGTTCGATCCCCGGTACCAAAAAAAAAGAACAGCCTGAACTACATAGTGAGACCCTGTCTCAAAAAAAAAGATAAACTAATACCACTGGGCATGGTGGCTTGTGCCTGTAATCCCAGCACTCAGGAGGCTAAGATAAGAGGATTGCCCATGAGCTCAAGGCCAGCTTGAACTACATAGCAAGACCCTGTCTCAAACAAAACAAAACAAAAAACTAATGCCACTTTTGCACTCGAAATTTTCTAGACCTAGAGGCTTTGAGATTCATTAGTGATTGCCAATTCAAATTTGTATACAACTAATAATGCAGAAAATATGCAAAGCAAAAATTAACTTTGCTGAGAAGTAGATGAATATATTATACTTTTAGTGGAAGTTTTTACCATATTTCCATCAGTAATAAATAAGTAGTTAACCAATGTGGTCTAATTTACCTGTGTAGAGCACTGCATCCATAAACTACTACATCCCATTCTTTTAAATGCACATAGAGCACTTACCAAAATTAACTGTACATTGGGTCATAAAGGAAGTCTCAACAGTTTCAGAAGATTAAAATCACAAAAGATAACCAAAACTTCTAACATATTTAGAAATTAACCAGTTCATGTCTAATAATCCCTGGGTCAAAATTAAAATTATAATATAAATTTTAAAATATATCAAATAGAATTAAATTGAAAATATAACAAAAAAGAAGTGAAGAATGCAGCTAAAAGCCATAAAGGAAAATATATAACCTTAAGTGTATGTATCAGAAAAGTATATAGCTCAAGAAATGAGAAAAAAATTTAAAACAGTAAATCAAACCCAAAGGAAAAGTAAAAAGAAGAAAATATAATGACCAGAAATTAATGGAATGGAAAACAAACATACAGCAGAGAAAATTGACAAAACCAAAGTTCTTTCAAAAAGACCATTCCAAGGGCCGGGGCTTTAGCTCAGTGGTTTCGCCGCCTGCTGCGCAAGTACAAGGACCTAAGTTCGATCCCCAGTACCACAAAAAAAATAAAAATAAAAAGACCATTCCAGAGAGAGCTGGTTTCTGACTAAGAATTTTTTGTTGCACTAGAGAGAGCAAATTACAAATGACTGATGTTAACTGGGCACAGTGACACATGGCTATACTCCCAGCACTCTTGGAGGCAGAGGCAGGAGGAATCAAAGTTTAAGCTTGGACAATTTACTGACTTAGCAAGACCCTGTCTTAAGATAAATAAAGGGCCAGAGATGTAGCTCAGTGCAAAGGACCCTGGTTCAGTCTCCAGCACTGTTCTAAAAAAAATTTTCTTCAAGGCTAATATTGAGAAAAGCAAGATTTTTCTTCAGTGGTGTGCCCAATGCCACACTGTGGAAAAGGGAGGTAAGCACATGACTGTGTCAAATTTCCATAGTCTGGTTGGGCAGAAGTCAGATTGCTGGATTCTCTTACTAGATGCCAGCAAGAGCAAAAATATCACCTGAGCAGAGGATGATGGAATACTTGGAGAACCCTAAAAAGTAAATCCCTGGAACAAAAATGATCTTTGCTGGCAAAAAAAAAAAGGGAGAAAGAGCACTTATATTTATCCTACTGCAAGAATTGCTGGTGCAATGAGGGAAAAAAGTATAAAGATTGGAAAAGAAGTCAGGTGTGGTGGTGCACACCTCTAATCCCAGCACTTTGGAAGGCTGAGCCACAAGGCCTAGCCTGGACAGCTTAGTGAGATCCTGTTTTAAAAAAATAAAAAGACTAAGGATGTAGTTCGGTGCAAAAGGCAGGTTCAGACCTCAGTACCACCAAAATGGAAAAAAAAAATTTTTTTAAGAAAAAATACTATTCACTGATAAGATTTCATATGCAGAAAATCCAAAAAAATTTACAAATAAATTAATACATCGGTTGGTATAGTATCCCTGAATATAAGGTCAATATAAATATAAATCATTTTGGACAATAGTCACAATAATTAGAAAAAATTGAACAGCACTGGAATATATCAGATACCTAGGAATAAATCCAATGAAATATTTGTGTGTATATGAAAATTGGTAGTGGGCTGGGGATTTAGCTCAGTGGTTCTGCCGCCTACTCCACAAGGGCAAGGACCAGAGTTCGATCCCCAGTACCAAAAAAAAAAAAGAAAGAAAATTGGTAGGTAGTATACCAGGCTGGTAACAAACAGTCCACTGGAGTCGATTAGGGAGTCAAGAAACGGAACCATATATATGTTGACACTGCCTAATTTATGACAAAAGTGGCTACATAACAGTAGTGAAAGAGAAATCCTTTAAGATATATAGGAGAAAATGAATCCTGATTCCTGTTGTATATTGTACGCAAAATCAGTTCCAGGTTGATTGCAGAGCTAAATATGAGACATAAATCAGTAAATTCTCTAGAAGTTAGCATGGAAAGAGTACCTAAAAGTGATTTTCAGTGTATGGTAATGTATATCATATTTCTGGGTGGTAATTACACAGTATGTTCATTTCATGAAAAGCTTATAAACTTATGGTTTTCAAACTTTTATATGTACATGTTATACTTAAAATAAAAAGCAGCCAGAGAAAAACATTATTTTCAAAGAAGTAGCAATTAGACTGATAACTGACTTCTCAATGGCAAGAGGAAAGTCAGAAATAATTAAAATGAAATCTTCAGTGTGCTGAAAGAAAATGACTGCCTACCTAATACTCTTTACCCAGTGAAAAGATCCTGGACCAATGAGTTGGTCCAATTATATTTTCACATAGGTATGTAGCATTCCTCTGAGTCAGGTTGGGTATATGGTACCTGAAAATATGATAGAAACTAGAAATATAAAGCTAAAAAGAATGAATGAAAACAATGTGCTTGTTGCAGCCAATGTTCTCTTAATTAGACCATTTGTCAGCCCTCCTTCCCTTCTTTACTTTCCCAAAAATCTAGGTCTAGGACCTGAACCCTCCATCCTACCATCATCTACACCTACCCACTTCTTTCTCTTTCATGTGTGCTACTTCATAGATTTGAAAAATCAAAGAAAGAAAAAAGTTAGTTAAAAAAAGTTATTTTATCCTTGATAATTTTCTTAAGAAATCATTTGCTTAATAATAGTCAAATGTTCTATCACCCATTTTAAACTAAAACAAAATAATCTTTCCCCCTCCAACTATTGCCTATCTTTTTCTGCTTTCCTTTACAGAAAAATTCTTCAATAAATGTTACACTTGCTGTCTCCATTCTCACTTCTCCCTCATTCTCTATTTGTTCCCAATACTCACTCTACCATTTTTGTTATTATATTACTACTGTTATGTAAATCTATAATACTAATATCAATAATAGAGCAAACTCTATGGCACCAGTTATGTCTTTGGCTCTGTTCTAAAAATTATTATTTTATTGAATCCTCATAACAACCTTATGAAATAGTTTCATTATTGTTCCATTTTACTAATGACTGAAGTAGAGGCTAAGTAACTCATCCATAGCTGTTACAGCTAGTAAGTGATGGAGCCATGATTAGAATCTAGATAGTCTCACAGAATTAAAGCCCTTAGATTACACTATTTTGCTAAATCCTTTGATCAGTTCTCTGTACTTATCTTACTTTATCTCTCAGCAAAGCACTTTCTTCACTTGACTTCCCAGAAACTGCAGTCTCCTGTCCCACCAGCTTTTCTTTCTCAGTTACTTTACTAATTCTTCTTCCTCTTCCCAAGCTTGTAAGTGGTAGAAAGCTCCTGGGTTTAATCCTCTGCCCTCTTTTCCCTTCCAGTTATATTATTTTTAAGCCAATGATTTGAAATACTGTCCTCATACTATCTCTAGCCCCCAAGTCTCCCTTAAATTACAGGCTCATCATGTTCATCTAGCTATTAAACAGCTGTAGACTAACAGAAACAACCCTGCTCACCATTCATTCAGACCAGAAACCCAAAGACTACTCATATCCCCTATCAATAAGTCCTATCAACTTCATCTTCATAAATAATTCTGTAGTCTGTCTGTTTCTTATCACCTCTTTTATCACCACCTTTGGCTAAGATTCTCTTCTGGACTCTACGAAGGCCTTCTGTTTGTCTTTCAGCTGTTCTTTTCTCTCTTTGATCTATTCAGTGTTCAGCCAATAGAATGATCTTTTTAAAAATAAGTCATTTCATTCTCTTGTTCAAACTCTCATTATTTTCCATCAAACTTGAAATCTAAACTCTTTACCATAGTTTATAAGGTCTTCTGTGGATGGACCCTTTTCTACCTCTCCATATTTATCTGCTGCCATTTTAACCTCACTTGTTCCACTCTAGCCCCACTGAGTTGCTTGCTGTTGTTCCAGGACACCAAAGGCATTTTCATCATGGGCCTTTCTATTGCTTGCTGTTTCCTCTGCCAAGGATACTTTTCTCCAGGAGTTGTATGTGGCTTGGTTTCTTTATTATTCTAGTTTTTTGCTAAAAACCATCACTTCAGAGATACTTTGCCTAATCAGTCCTTCAACAGTATTCCTGTGTTTTTTTCAGAGTACTTTTATCACTTGATTGATTACTTTCACCACTTGATTGATTACTTTCACTACCAGAATAAAGGCAAAGGCTTTTTCTCATTTACTGCCTTTTCCTTCATTATAGTAGACATTCAATAAATACTTGTTGGATAAAGTGAAATAATGAGTACTCTAAACTATATTCCAAGAGTCTCGCCATTTTGCATAGTCCACTCTGGTTCCCCCATGCCATCCTTACACCATCTTTCTCTATTTCAATTGAATATTCCAGTCTTTAATTCCTTGTTTTGTTTCCATGAATAAAAACTTGATATTCTAGAGGTTTGTAGTTAGTAGAAGTATGTTGACATTTTGTAATTAATGTGTTTGTCTATCCCATTTTGCTAAGGCGATTTGTTTGGAACTTCTTCCGCCTGGAGAATGAACATCTAAATAACTGTGGTGAATTTCGTGCTGTGAGGGACATCTCTGTGGCTCCCCTGAATGCAGATGATCAGACACTCCTAGAGCAAATGATGGACCAGGATGATGGGGTACGAAACCGCCAGAAGAATAGGTCATGGAAGTACAACCAGAGCATATCCCTGCGCCGGCCTCGCCTGGCTTCTCAGTATGTATAGCTTCCACTTATATAAGGCATGTTTTCTTTTCTTTTTTGTTTTGTTTTGTTGGGGTTTTTTTTTTTTTGAGCCACGGTCTCACTATGTAGTCCAGGCTGGCATCAAACTCATGGTGATTCTTCTGCCTCAACCTCCCTAGTGCTGGAATTACAGGTGTGCACCACTACTCCCAGTTCTATCTTTGGTTTTTATCACTGGATTAACATTTAAGCTAAGAAGCTATCCAGTTGAACCAAAAGAAGTTGCTGATATTCAACCATATTTCACCTACAAAAAATAGTAATAAACAGCAAATTTATATCCAACTTATTGAATGTCTAAATGAGTACATACAGAGTAAATGTTACCTACTAATTGGGTGTATACAAATTAGTATATGGTCTAGGGAAGAATTTGCTGGAGAATGATTTACTTGACCGTTCAGTATGTTTTTTGTTTTGTTTTTTGGGGGGAGTACGGGGGATTGAACTTGGTTCCTTGCACTTGTGCAGCAGGCAGTGAAATCACTGAACTAAATCCCTGGCCCTCAGAATGTTTTATATACAAATAACCTTCAAGTTATAATTTTTTGGTATCCTGTTATCTATGTAACCTCAGCCAAATTCCTTAATTTCTCTATATTACCTCTCTTCTGTCAGTTGGGATTAATATAGTCCTTGCTTATAGATTAAAAGGATTAAATTCATTGTTACATGGAAGTTACATTAGTTCTTTCAAAAAAAGAGCTTAATAAGTAGAAGCTGTTATCTTTTTAAATACCTATAATAATATTTTTATTAGTCATTGACTTTGTATGTTCCCAGAAGTAACAATAAATATAGAATATATGGTAACTGCTTGTGAAATTTAGAGATAGCCTGGTAGATTGGAATGAAGGAGGAAACTAAAGTTGAGCAGTTTTCTAAAGGAAGTATCGTTGTCAAAGACTGAAAAATGGAACCTTGATCTTGCAGGCAAGAAATGATCACTTTATGAGGGGGACAGGGTGGGGGCTTAAACCCAGAACCTCATTCATGCAAGACAAGTGCTCTAGTGCTGAACTAGATCCTCAGCCCTTTTTACTTTTGAGACAAACTCTTACTAAGGTGTCCAGGTTAGACTCAAACTTGAGATACTCCCTCTTCAACCTCCTAACTAGGATTATAGAAATATGCTACAGTGCTTGGCAAAGAATCACATTTTTTCTTAGAAGAATGGCGTGAAAGTAGTATCTTAGAAGTTTTAATGACACTATCAAAGATATATTAGGAAAGGAAAAACTAAAGACCTAGAGAGCAACTAAAAGGTGATTGCAGTATTTTTAAATATGGGACAATGATTCAAATAAGAATACTTAAAATCAACTGTAATGAATGAAAGGAGACATTTTAAAGGAAGTTAAAAAAAAACCAGGAGGTGGTAATCCATAACCCAGTGGAATAGCAGAATAGAATAAAATAGAATAGAATAGAATAGAATTTGACAAAGCTTTAGGTAACGTTTTAGAAGTTCACTGAAAAAGAAAAAGAAGATGGAGAAGAGAAAAAAAACAAGAACAAGGAGTTGAGTCTTAGGCAAGACGAAAAATAAATGAAAGACAAGCATGGTCAGGGAGGTCAGTAGGAAGAGCACCAAAGCAGTGTGGTGCTAGTGGGATGCACATGTCTATAATCCCATCTACTTTGGAGGCTGAGGCAGAAAAATCACAAGTATGAGGCCTCACAAGAGAAAGATCACAAGAGGAAGACCTCAGTGAGACCTTGTCTCGAAATTTTTTAAAGATGGGGATTGTAGCTCGTTGGTAGAGCACCCCAGATTCAATTTTTGGGATCAAAAGGAGGGAGGGAGAAGGGGAGGGGAGGCAGTCAGGAAGGAGGGAGGGAAAGAAGGAAATGTGGTTCTATAATAACAAGGAACCCAGCAAGACAAATACCACAAAGGGCTGGGGGGTAGGTGCTGTATGTATCCTGTAGTCTTGTTGAGCTCCTGATTTGAAAATCTAATCCTTGTTAGTTACCAGCAGAGGGCAGTCTAAACATATGCTATTTCTGTTTCAGAAATAGGCTGTTTGGCAATAGATTATTTTCAATTTCAGGTGTTTAGTGGAAAAATACTGGCAAACTAGATTTCAACCAGAGGAAGGCATTTACAGTGGAACAGGTTATGTGCAATGTAGAGTGCAGGGAATCCAAAATAAGATCTGAGTTTAATTCTGACTTCATGACTCATGCAACATTTAGCATATCCTTAACCTTTTTCCAGATCAGTTTCCTCCTCTGTCAAGTAAGAATGACAACTCCTGTTTTTTCTGATACTTCTTTTGCCCCATGGGTCTCATAACTTGCAGAGTATTTTAATGTTACCTAATCCCCTTTTTCATTCAGTTTCAGAATGGAATATCTCCTGCACAGCATCTTGAATAAATGATCATTTTGTTCTGATTGACAATCAGCAGTGATAATGAAATTTACAACTATATGAAGCACTTGATTTTATTGTTGGATAGTTACAGCAGTAGATAATGTTGAGATGAAATATGCTTCATCATGATTAAACTAAACAGTTTAATCTTTATTGGACTCTCTGACATAATGAAATGAGTCTCCTCCCTCTTCTGCATCATGTTGTGCCAGCCATTAGAAGACAAATTATCTTGCCTCTCCTTAGATCTTACCTTCTGATGGTTAATTCTCCTAGTTTTTCAGGCACACATCAGTGTTATTATACTTCTCTCATCCTTATCATAATTCTTTATGTTTGTTTAATGCCTTATTGATTTTTTTCCATTTTCTCACTTGATGTGCACACTCTCTCCATGAGGTGAAAGGGATATTAAGTGAAATAGGTATTATTACTATTCCTTCTTTGCAGAAATGGAAACAGGCACTTAAAAGAGGTTAAAAATATACAATTATAAATCAAAATCAGTACTGAAAACCAGATCATCTTATTCCAAATTATTACTTTCTCTGTTGAAAATGACCTTTTACCTTCCTTTTAGTGTCTTTCCAATAATGCCTGAAATTGAAACTCCAGGAATAATTCATCTGGTGTAGTAGATAGGGCTTGTTTAGGACATCTGTTTAATGGTAAGATTGGAAATGTGCCTAATACAATAAATGTGTTTGTATTTAATAATGGACTAAGGTTTTTTTCTTCCTCTAGATCCAAGGCTCGTGACACTAAGGTATTGATAGAAGACACAGATGATGAAGCTAACACTTGAATTCTCTGAAGTCTAGATTAATATCCTTGGTTTTCCTACTCTACAATTCTTTCCTTGACCAACGCAACCTCTAGTACCTTTTTCAGCTGAAAACAGGAGAAAACACATAACACATTTTCCGAGCTCTTCCAGATCGGATCCTATGGACTCCAAACAAGCTCACTGTGTTTCTTTTCTTTTCTTCTGGTTTAATTTTAATTTTCTATTTTTAAAACAAATATTACATCATTTTGCCAATCAGAGGATGTTTTAAGGGCAAAAACAGTATCTCTGGATTGTTCACATTATCAGGATGAAGAACAGGCATTGCAGAGGCCCTCTGATGGGACAGTACCGAGATGTCTCGGCTTCCGTTTGGCCCGGTTTTGACTGGTTAAAACCGGACATTGATTTTTAAATTTTTGTCAGTTTACGTGGAGAATTTTTTCCTTTCCTTCATACCCAGCACAAAGGCACTGGCTGCACTTGCAGGAAAAGTGCAACTTAGAGCAGTACCTTCATTCACGAAGCTACTTTTTAATTTGATGTAACTTTTCTTATTTGGGGGAGGGTTGTTGGGTGGGCGGGAAATATGATGTATTTGTTACATAAAGTTTTCTCATTATTTATGAAACTTAACCATGAAAGAATGATATAACTCCTATGCAGTGAAGGTGATAACAATGAAAGAAGACAGGGGAAACTAATACTGGATGGCATTTATTTATGAGGGTCAGTCCCACATACCTCTTTCAGGAGACAACTTAGACCAGTTTAACTTTTTCTTTGCTTTGCTTTTAATTTCAAGCCAAAGTTTTATTATTAAATTTTAAGTTGCTGCTGCTTTAGAGTTCTGAGCCTCTCTCCCATAAGCAAGGCATCCCACACATTTTCTTACCACTGGTTGAAATTCACGTAAGAGGTTCTGATACTTTTTTTTTCTTGCTGAACAGACAGAATACATTTGCCCATATTCCAACCATAGCAGCTAAAGTTACATCTTACTATTCGTCAGCATGTAGGGTAACTGTAGTGTAATCTTTGCTAACTCTGAATTGGAAGACAGAGCCACTTCAGAGACTCTTCATGATCTTAGTTTTTCCTCTCGTCTCACCCCTTTAGCCAGAATTTGATCAAATTAAAAGTCCTTTGTGAGGAAACCATATTTTTTGAGCATGTAGAACAAATTATCATATTACATTAATACAAAAGACCGTGGCAGTCATTTTCCTAAACAGTTTGAAAAGATAAACATTGGATTTCATGCTCTCCCATAATAGAAACCTGCTTTTAAAATTTTGGGGGTCTACATCTGGTTATACGTAGGAAATATGTTTCTCAGAAAGTTAAAATTATTAATGGTTTATGTTCAATGACCGCTTCACCTTTATCTCATTTATTCCCTTCCTAAATTCCCTTGATTCATCAGAAGATCATAAGGCATTTAATTTTCCTTCATAGGATTGGCATTAAATTTAGCATTTTAGGACTGGGTATATAATTCTGAGAGCACTTGCCCAACATGCACAAGGCCCTGGGTTTAAAAGAAAATTGAGTGTTTAACAAAGTTAATGTAAAATTAATATAAAAACCGGAAAAAGTAAAGCTTTAAATACCCCCCAAGACGGAGATTCCAAAGGCTTAATTTTAGACAAGGGAACAAATAAGAAGGCAGCTATTGACATTTGTGTTGTTTTTAAAAAGTGTAGTTAATTGGCCTTTTATTCGCTACTTTTGCATTCAGCTCTTCCCTGCATATAATAAATCTTTATTCATCCCTGTCATAATTCTAGTAAATTGTATCAAAGTTACTCTTACTACCAAATTTCTACCAGTTAACTGACAAAGTTTCTTTTAAAAGGAGTTTCTTTCTTTATTCTGTAAGCTTCCAAAATGCATTCCCTTTCTGAATCAAGACTTTTCCTGAAAAATCATATTAACTTTGTGGCTCCTATTTTTTTGTGTGTGACTTGCCAAGCATGTTCCTTGTCCCAAAACTGAAGAGAAAATGTTTACTTTTTAAAATTTTAAATAAATTGAAAACTATAATAATCAGTGGTAACAATTTAGTGCCCCTTGATAGATTAAAGGTTGCACTATTTATTTCTACTTAGGGTTTTTTTTCCCCCTAACTATTCTATTTTTTATACATTAATACATGGGGAAATAGCACTGGTCTGTCAAGCAATAGCAGCAGTTATTACTGAGTATATTGAGAATGATCAGTGACCAGTTATTTCTTATACAAATAAAATTGGCAGTACTCTAATGCGTATCCAAAGCCACTTGAGTTGTCAGTTTCATTCTCTGTTAGCAAATCTATATAAACAGGCTGGGGATTTAGCTCGGTGGTTCTGCCACCTCTGCCTTGCAAGCGCAAGGTCCCAAGTTCGATCCCCGGTACCAAAAAAAAAAAAAAATCTATATAATCACACACACACACACACACACACACAAAATCTTACAGTTAACTTTTGGTATTTCAACTCCCTGATGTTTTCATTTCAGAGTATCTTATGACCAGTTTAGTCTTTCTACAACTATTATGATTCTAGGCCCTAATCAGTGTTATTTTTTCATAGATAATACTATGATAGAACATATTATTTTTCTGATATGTTTGTGCTATTGGCATAGTCTACTAAAAAATAAGACTTAAGTAAGTTTCCATTTACCATGACAGATGCGCAACTATGTATTTAAACACCCAGCTTATGTAAAAAGGGTTTTTCCTCATCAAGGAAGTTTGGGAGACAAGTATATATTTAAATTCTTTCCTTCAAAAAGGCAATATGCATTTTTCACTTCTCAACTTCATATGCCCTAGCAGTTGTGAATGCTATGTCCTACCTAAAATTTCATTGGAAACTCATATACACTGATACTCTTGAACTCTTAAGAGATGAGTATGACAGAGTCATTTTACAGTCTCACCAAAGAAAATTTTCATCTCCTTTTAGGGTTAAAAATTCTAGTTTTATTTGAGAAGCACTCAATTTTAGTATCAGTTAAAAATACTCCCTTAGAGGAATAAAAAGAAGGTGCAAATAAAAGAATAAAATTCATTTTTTATTTTATGATAGTACTGAAAGCATTAATATACATTGAGAAATTAGAAGACAAAGAAGAATGGTTTATTTGCTATGCACAAAAGAGTGCCAATATTTAAGGCTGCCTGTACCATTACAAAGAATAATAGGTAAGTTCATGTCATACAGAAAAAAATGAGATGATCAAAGATTAAGTCATTAGGTTATAGATGGTCATTTTTTTTTTTTTTTGGAAAGAAGCTGAAAACACACATCCAACTATTTTTCCAGCACTTACCCATTAGACTCCGTAGGCAAACTGTTCAACTTCAGTCAGAAGCAGTGGTGTGAGAGGAGAGCGCCAGTGCCTCAGCAATAACCTGCATGAACTCTTAAAGGAAAGTGGGGTCTTCCTCGTAGGATCCATCACTCCCAGTATTCAAAGCTGAAATTTCTGTTTTAACTGACCTCTTACTAGAAGTAACTTGCTGAAACATTGTATCTTTCCACAATGGTGTCACCAAAGTACATTCACAGCTAGAGAAGGCAGTTCTTTTAAGGCAAGGTAAGAAAGAAAAAAATAATCTAGCACTGAGTCATACAAGTAGCACACAGACATTTACTTGGAGAGTAATATAATTTTGAAGCTAATAAGAGGAGCAAGAAGTTGTTAGGTGACCTTGGTAGCAGAAACAAGTCAGGAAAGTGTGTGTTTGTAGACATGCAGGTGATGCCTCTCCATGCCTCTATTGGTGGTGGTTATGTTGCTGGGAAGAGCTTCCTTTATTTTCCTATCATTTTTTGGATCATTTTGCATTATTCAGGAAATAGCTCTTTATTCCCAAATGCAATTTTCTAAGCAGTGACTAGAAATATTTCTTATTGTAAAGAAAGTAATTTAGAAAATTACCAAATCTGTGGTATTATTTTATTTTAAAATATTGAATTTTCTGAAGTGAATACACTAATTTGGTAAATGAGTTTCAAGTTACTGTTCTTGCAATAGTTTGCATAAAATTTACCTAACTCAAAAAAGTAAGTATTATATATTTAAATTTTTTTAATTAACATCACTTCTTAGATTAAAAAATAATCTTATTGAATCCATGGCTCTCTCTAGTACAAAAATCACTACTTTTGTCAACTCATAAGAAGCTAGTATCATTACAAAAAATCAGTAGTGACTTGTGAAATTGAAGTTCTGGTCAAACTTTGGGAAAAGTTAGATAAAGAAGAGTAAATCACTTTTATTACCCTAGTTCATGTTTTTACCTAATTGATTGAAAATTTTTGCTTGTTATAATTATTTAAAACAAGGTAAGTTAAAGATTTTCTAAATATATATATTTCTGCATTACAAATACAGTCCATACTCAATCTCACAGTCTCCCAGCTTTTCTGCATTGTAAGTCTATACAGTGTTACTCTTGGTAACTGGCAATAGAGTTCATTTTATTATAGAGTAAGAAATGTGTATTTTTCAGTGGTACAGATCAACCAACTAACCAGCATTAACCCCACTCCATTTACCAAATATGAAAAGGTAAAATCTCACTAAATTTGGAAAAGTTTAAATTAAACAATGGGAGAATTTTGCCTGGAAATGGAGAAAAGCCTGCTTTGTGGTATGGCTCATGATGCCTTGTATGAATTGTCAAAACTTGACAGTGATTTGCCCTAAGAAACAACTTTCCAGTACATATTTTCTTAATTCCTAGTGGAAAAGGAAGCAAAAGGGACAAGTGAGTTTCCCCTGAAAAGAGGAGCATCATTATACTAATTTTCAACTTAAGTATGTTTCCTTGTAGCAAACTTTTGGTTTATTTTAATCAGTGCCACCTTCAGTTTTTGTTTGTTTATTTTTGTATGGTGCCATCAATCTAAGGACAATCAAATAACCTATTTTTTGCCTTGGTCTGTTAATTACACAATTGCATCTTGTATACCTTCAAACCAGGTATGTGACTAAACTGCCCCTGTACCCCCTTTCCTCTGTACTACTGCATGTCAGAGGACAGATTGCAGTACTACTAGAAAGATGCGGACTTGAAAGAGCAAGGATTCCATCTCACTATCCCTTGGTCACTACCTTTGAAGTCCCTACCTACACTTTCCTGATCATCCACATCCGTACAAGATAGTAGGAAATCCTTGAAGAGTAATTATTCATGACGTTATTTCAAAGTGTAAAGTAAAAACGTAGCCACTCACATTCTAGTTGCAAAAAGAACAAAACTTTTAAAGATTTATCACATTGTGAAAATTAATTTTTTGCCATTTTCTGGGTTAGCACAGATGCATGGATCAATGAAGAGTATTTAGGAAGGAAATAGGGTAAAAAAAAAAATGTATTTTTCTTTTCAAACTCTGTCCCTGTACTTGTGTTTCTTTCACACACCCTCCCTCCTCCACACCGTGTTGGTCAAATGATACCATTCTATGAAATCCTGAGCTATAGCTGTCAAAAGTAACTATGGATTGTGATTAGTCCCCTGTGGTTGCTTCTTTCTTTCCTTCTTATTTCTCCTTTGCTTTCTTTCTTACTCTCCACTCTGGTAAATAGAAAAGGTGACGTCAAAGAATTGATGCTTGCTTGGACTCATGTTGTATCTGTGACTATGCTATTAGCTGTCTCCTTTTTCCTTATATGGGTAGTATTCTTATGACATGTGGAGTTCCCTTCTTGATAAGTAGGTTAAATGCACAATGTGGTACTGTTTTATAGTTTCTAGATGGTTGTATAAAGCAAAAAGTTAATGTGGTTATGTGTTTTTAAAAGAAAATAAGTGATTGGTTACAAAACTCTGTCCTTTTTTCATTATTACAAGCTCTCTGTTTTCCAACAGTTTGCTGACTCCTTTGTCACTGGTAAATGGTTTGTGTCGCTGTGTTTTTCTTTCTGGATTTCTTGAATTCCTGAATATGGTTCCCCTTATGATTAACTTGTATATGGGCTAAGGCAAACAATACAATGGTGAAATTTTTTAAATTATTTTACTAAATTAAAAAATAATCTTAAATGGCCTTCTTTCTTCAGGTAATACATGAGGTATGACTCAAGCAATGAGATTAGTGCAACAGCTTTTTTTACTCACAAATACTGGGTTAAATCTGTCATTACATGTTAGTGAGCTGGACACTTGTTATCACTACACGTCCCTGCTCTGTGTGGAAGCATAGCACTTTCTGCTGAATTCCTCACTAATTAGGACTCCTGATGTTTGGGAAAAATCATAAATTAACTGATTCTAACATGAATATACCCAAAAATCATTCACTGGCTGAAACATGAAAGCCTTTTTATTTTAATACCACACACTGTTTTTACTATATTTCTGTTTAGGCTAAACAAGAATTTAACAATACGAGGTTTCCAAAGCAAAGGCAGGATAGGCTGTGAATATATATGAATCATTAGACACTTAAGACTCCTTTGTACAATTTGATAATATATATTCAACATTTCTATGCCCCTACTCTTATATTTTCCAGATATGTAGCATTGCAGTTATATGTGGATTAATAAGCCATCTCAAGCTGGGATTTAGCTCAGTGGCTCCGTGCCTGCCTCACAAGCACAAGGTCCTGAGTTTGATCTCTGGTACCGAAAAAAAAAGCCATCTCAATTTGTTTATGAAGAGACAAACACTTAGCAGCAAAGTCTACAATCTCAGGTGGTTTCAGGAACCTACTCTCTCACCATCCATCTTAGACATACTCAGAATCATTAGACTTTTAGTGTTCGTATCGTTTTATGGATAATTTTTATTAGATTTTTGAAGGTTATAGAAATAATGATCAATTTTATACTTTCTGATTAACTTCTTTTTTTAGTTCCCTTAGGGGAATTGTGAAATTCTTGTACTTTTTAAAGAATAATTTAATAGGTGTTTATTGAGGTTCTAATATGTGCTAGACATTAATGAAATTGGTTTCATTACCATTAGTTTTATGGAGACAAGAAGAAATAAATTTATTTTTCTGAAACTGGTAAAAAAGCCAAATTCCTATAGGTATTAGCACCCACCCTATGGTAAGCTGAGTTTTCTGCCTTAACTTAGAGATGACTATTTACCCCTTCCTAGGAAGCTATTAAAACCTATTATGGTTTCTTACCCTTTTAAAAATAAAAATGAGAGGGCAAGAAGGTGGCTGAGTAAGATCCTGATGATGGTCTCCCTGCAGACACATCAGGTTATACAGCTATTCACTCACCAAACTGCCTTCACAAGAGTTAAAGAAATCAGGTGAGAGACCACAGTGCCTACTTATAATGTAACAAAAAGTCATGTAAGAGAGCAGAAAGGATAGAGGTGGCCCTGCTACCCTTCTTGCAACTCTTAAGCAACCTAGCTTAGACAGAGATGCCTCTCAGTTTGGGAGAGGGAGAGAGAATTAAGGCTGGGCCTTAGACTTGAAACCCAGTACCAGGCCTGCCACAGTGAGACCCAAAACTGGGCAGAGCCCCATTCTTCCTCCAGACCATTACCTACAGACTGTGTCACCTGAATCTTCATTAGGCCAGGTGTCTGACTGTCTCTGCAACCTTCCCCTAGCCCTTGTTGGCAGAGCTGGGAACAAAACTCCATGTACTAGGAGAGCAGAGAACAGGGCTTTGTCTTGGAGCTCAGTGCCAGGCCCACTACAGTAAGACCCAGCATCGAAAAGAAATTGAAGTCTTCATATACAGGCCAGAGCTCACAGATGGAGCCTCTAGACTGGCTCTGGCATCAAGCAGAGCATCAGACTCAAAACTTTGACTGTGTCATTTCTGCCTTTGAGTGGGTCCTGGGCATACCCACTCTCCTTCCAGGAGGAACTATGTAGAACCCTATGGCTTTAAGAATTAGGGGCTACCCACCTTAGCATCGGGCATAGTGGCAAAAGGGTCTATGTCTACCACCTATCGCCCACCCTTGGACAGCACAGCTATCACCAGGCCAGTGCTCACAAATGGGGATCTAGAACTGCCCTAATATCAGGAAAATACCTGTGCCCCAGTGGAACAGAATTGTGTCAGCCTACATCACTGCCAGCTTTTTAATGGGTCTTGGTGCACCCTTGAGACTCCCTGGGTCCCTGTGGCTGTGAGACTCAGGTACAACCCAGCATAGTGCCAGCCTGGGTGGCCAAAGGACTGCCTCAACTAACAGGCAGCATTGCCTAAGGCTGGAAGACCTGATTAACTTGGGGGTAAGAAAACATAAGCACAAGACTTTGCTCTGGAACTGAGTGCTGGGCTAGTGAAATGTAATCCTGAGTAGATTCTAATGCCCCCCCCATCCCTCACTTGGGCCTCACTGTGGATTAGAGCCTCAGGAACACCCTAGTGCTGGGGGGAGACATGCAGCCCCAGCTTTTGCATTTATGTTCCAGCTAGCACCATCTGTAGCTAGTTACAGGGTTCTTGGGCCACATTTCCATCTCAGCAATAGGCAGCCCATAGACATAACAGCGTGGGCTTGGGTCCTATCACAGTGTCTTGGCAGGTTATAGGTTTAGGGCAGTGATGGGAAACCTGTGGCATGCATTCTGCAGTGGGCTGTTTGTATTATTGAAAGGTCTAAAAGCTTCATCATCACTATCTTAGGGTATAAAAAGCTTGGCAGCATGATGATCACAGCTGTGACAGGAATCTGGGGCTGATGCATCCATGATGACTCTGCCTAAAACCAGGTGGAATCCTACAGTGCCTGACCACAGTGGACAAGGCATATGGGCCTACTCCCTCCCTAGACCTGAGGGGACAGATTACTGTTGCTGTGTACTCTACTATTTTCTTTAAGAGCACACCAACAGTCTATTTGTGACAAACCTGAACTTAGATTGCCTTTGTTATGGTTTAGATCTAAAATGTCCCCCAGAAGTCATGTTCAGGGATGGGACCTGGTCAAAAGAGGCAGGTCACTAGAGGTGTGACATGGAAGGCTGTATGCTTGTAGCAGCTCTTCCCTTTGCTCTCTGCTTCCTGGCTGCCATGTGAGGACCTGTTCTGTGCCATGTCCTTCCACCATGCCATTTTTGCTTTGGAGCCAGCTGACCATGGACTGAATCCTCTGAAAACAACCAAAATAAACCTCCTTTAAGTTGTGGGTGTCAAGTATTGTCCCAGCATCAGGAAAGTGACTGATACAGTCCTCTAGTGACACCACTAACAATGCCCTATAAATCTGAACCTGGTTACCATCCATTACTGAAATAGCGCAAGTGACTACAGGCTCAGAGAAAATAAGCAGTTGGCTTAGAATTTCTGGAAAGACAGGCACAAACCAAGCCAAATTAGACTGCAATAAATGCCTAATCCTTCAGTGCCCAGAGGACATCATGTGCCAACGAGCATCAAGAGCTTTCAGGAAACCATGACCTCACTTAAAGGTGCTAGAAACTGAAGAGAAGTAATCAATATGGGAGAAATCTCAGAATTTAAACTCGGTATTCTAAGAAAATGCAGTGAGCTTGAAGAAAACAAACACTTCAATATTCCAACAGAAATACTTAACAGAGATGGAAGCTATTTTAAAAACTCAAATTTTTGAGCTGAAAAAGTACTCAGCAAAGTTAAAAACATGATAGCATCAATAGGATATGTCAAACAGAAGAAAGAATTTGTGAACTTGAAGACAGGTTATTTGAAAATACACATTTGGAGGGGAAAAAATGAGTAAAAGCACAGAAACTTTGGGACAATATTAAAAGTGCGAATTTTCAAGTTATTGGAGTTTAAGAAGGACTTGAGAAAGCCAAAGAGAAGTTTATTCAAAGAAACAGTAACAGAAAACTCCTTAAATGTAAAGAAAGATACAAATATCCAGGTAAAGGAAGGCTAAATGTATCGGTCAAATTTAGCCAAATCTATACCAAAATATCTTATAATCAAGTTCTCAAGGAGGAAGGATAAAGTGATTCTCAGGGGTGTAAGAGAAAACATACATAGAGATACTCTAATTCATCTGTCAGCAGACTTCTCAGCAGGCCACAAGAGAGTGGTATATGATTTTCAAGCAAAGCTAACCATTAGAGATGAAGGGGAAAAAAAGACAAACAAAAGCTAAGAGAATATATCTCCACTAGAACTGTTCTACAAGAAATGCTAAGCTGGGTGTGGTGGCACACGCCTGTAATCCTAGCACTCAAGAGGCTGAGGCAAGAAGATCACCACAAGTTCCAGGCCAGCCTGGACTACATAGTGAGTTCAAGGCCAGATTGAACTACATAATCAGACCTTGTCTCCAAAAAATAAAAAAAGAGAAAAAAGAAAATGCTAAAGAACATTCTTCAAACTAAAAGAGACATTAATGAGTAAGAAGAAAACATGAAACAGTATAAAACTCACTGGTAAGAGTAATTCTATAAACAAGTGCAGAGTGCTGTCATATTGTAAGCATGGTACATAAACCATATCTTTAGAATGAGGACTATAAATAACTACATTGATGTATTAAGAGATATAGAATGGGACATCAAAAATTCAAAATGAGAGGATGGAATGCAAAGGTAGAAATTTCTTATTAGTGTATTTTCTTTTTGTTTTCATTCTTTATAATCATGTTAACTTGCTATTATTCCAAAATAGTTTTTTGGAATAGTATTTGGAGTCAAAAGACGTTTTTCTGTAAGCTTCATGATAACTACAAAGCAAAAATCTATAATAGACAGACAAACAAAAAATAACCAAAATACAGTACTAGAGAAAATCAGTTAACCACAAAGAAAGACTGTAAGAGAGGAAGAGAGAAGAACTACAATGAAAACAAGTTATATAATACCTATAGTAAGACCTTACCTGTCAGTAATTACCTTCAATGTAAATGATTAAATTCTCCAATTAAAAGACAGGGTGACTAAATTTTTTTTTAAAGAAGAAGTCCCAATTATATGTTTCTTATAAGAAACTCACTTTGCCTTTAAGGACACACATAGACTGAAAGTAAAGAGATGGAATAAGATACTCCATGTAAATAGAATCCAGAAGAAGGAAGGTTAGCCATCCATAATTGCATCAAAAAATAGACTACACCAA